AATGATGACTCTGCCACTCATGACTCTGCCGCAAATGCTTCAAAGCAAAATCCTCAAAGCATAGCTCCAAGGGTGATGACTGATCGTGAGCTTCTCCTCAGTCTTCACTAGAAGGTCGATCGCAACCACAAATGGGTTAAGCGTCAGTTTGGTTCTATTCTTCACAACATGACTTCTACATACAATGCAGTGAAGAAAAACCATTACTACCTCCATGAAGTCTTTGGTCGCACCTGGGCTGTTCTGTCGCATCTATATGGTGAAGAAGATCTGAAGCAAATGGGTCTCAAGCAGGACTTTGACTGGTCTCAGCCACCAGCGAAGAAATTCAAGAAAACCAAAGTACCTTCCTTGGCAGCCGGCTCATATTCTTCATCACGCGCGACTGATGAGCATGAAGACTTGGACGACACTGCGACAGGCCCTACCTCAACAACCGACCCCAACAATGTTGGCGCTCCTTCATCGACTCAGTGATGATATTTTTCAGGGGCGTTAGTTCTCATTTTTTTCGACCCTTTTGGTCATTCGATGACAAAGGGAGAGAAATTTAATTTAGTCTTCAAGCGGGTCTACTTATATGGGCGTTTTTTTGCTAAGCTACAACTCTCGTTCTTTTGAAGACTTTGCTGGATCGAGTTGTAAACTTAAACCCGATGGTGGTCTGATACTTTTGCTGTGTTCTTCTGCATGCTTATTCCTCATATATGTTAATGCACGCATGCTGAATTACACCAGTCACCATATTTCAGCATGCATTTCAAATTCTTCATATTATATGTTAAATGCGTGTATGAATTACAAGATATAGGAGGAGATCTCCATGATTCTACTCTTCAAGTGTGCATTCCTTCAAAAGCAAATTCCTCATTATGCACATCTTCAGGGGGAGTTCTTCTATATCTTGCAATCAAATTCCTCAATATCAGTATTTACACCTCATATGTTTACCCTCGTTGAAAACTTAACCTATATTGTCATCAATCACCAAAAAGGGGAGATTGTAAGTGCATCTAGTGCCCCTTAGTGATTTTGGTGTATTGAAGACTTATATGTTAAGAGACTGATGCGTTTGTGAGTGTACACACGTCTATAAGTCTATGAGGAGTTTGATATTTACAGAGAAAGTCGACCCCTAAAAATGAAGTTCTTCGACTGAGGACTTTGGACTTTCTAAGTGAAGAAATTGGTGTGACCGTGAAGACTTGATATTCATTCGAGGAACATGAAGCATGAAGACTTTTGTTTTCGTAGTTTCTTTTCCTCTTTCTTGAGTCATAGGAAACACCGTACTGTTAAAGGGGGTCAAGGAAAAACTAAGGAAAAGTTTCCATGTGATGCTCAACTCAAAATCCTACATCTACCAATCCCTTCGAGTGAAGCCATTGGAAATCTCATACAGTTCAGTCAATTTCTTCAGTGATAGAGAAGGAGTTCTTCTGGTCTCTGAGGAATTTGTTCTGACTCAGGAGTTAGGAATTCGCTAGTGCGGATTGCCTACAAGTGAGGAACATGATAGCCCTGAGGAATTTGATAGTCAAATTTCCGATCGTTGCTGTGCTACGCGCCAGCTGTCCCAAAATATCTTCCCACCTAATGGTCATATCATTGAAGGGCATTTATGTCTTATCATGTCGGGCTGCTCCCTAGGCTATAAATAGCCGCCCCTACAACCACTAATTGGTTGGCTGCTTCGAGAGAAACTGACACTTGTCATTTGAGAGCATCCATCCTCCAAGGACTTTGAGCGAAAATCATCAAGTGAGCAAAACCCAAACCCAAACACCTACAAACTCAAAGTGATTGAGCATCACTAAAGAGATTGATCCTGCGTGGATCCGACGCTTGTTACCTTTGAAGACCGTGCATCTTCCAGACGGTTAGGCGTCAAGGTCTAGAGCATCCAAGAGAAAATTGTGGATCACCGAGTGACCGAATTTGTGAAGGTTTGGAAGTCACCTGAAGACTTACCACGAGTGATTGTGCGAGGTCTGTGTGAACTTAGCTCAAGGAGAATACGGTGAGGACTAAGTGTCCTGAACTGCGTGTTCAGGACTGGGTGTCCGGGACTGTGTGTCCGCAGGTTTGAATACCTAGCCGCCCTAACCAGACGTACAACTGTTACATCAGTTGGAACTGGTCTACCAAATCATTGTCTTCACCAAGCCAACTGGTTCTATTTCCTTAACCGTTCCATTTCCTCATTACCATGTTGTGTGCTTGTTCATATCTGTTCGAAGACTTTGATTGAAGACTTTCTCAATTTCCCCATTTCAATTTCTTCAGTTTGTTTGTCTTCATCCTGTTTATCCTGTGTTTACGCTTTCTGTACTCTGTGCTTGTTTTCATTTCATCATGATGACCATGCTTATGTTCTGTTATGTTTGCATTTGAGTACTTATTCCGCTGCAAATAGTTCTTCTCTTAGGAATTTTCTCACCATGAAATTCCTCAGTGAAGAATTCCTAAAAATCGCCTATTCACCCCCCTCTAGTCGACTTAACGCACTTTCACTTGTGCCAATTAGCATCTTTCCATTCTTTTATTTCTTTACGTCGGGAGAGCCCACCAAACCAGTTTTCACTTGTTCGCTGATTTCTGGGTGGTTTTTTGCTTTTCTTTTTTTAAATGCACGAACATTTTTTCAAATTCGTGACCCTTTTTTCAAATTCAATGATCTTTTTATAAAAAGAAATGCTTTTTTTCAAATTTGATGAACTTTTTTTAAAATCAATGAATTTTTTCAAATTTATAGACTTTCTTACAAATTTCATGAAAATTCTTGAATTCACATTTTTTTTTTATTTTTGGGTGAAAAGTCAATAGTTGACTGGTCCAGTTGAGCGAATGAGGCGATTGAGCTGAAATGGAACAAGCGAACGAGGCAACATGGGCCGGCCCAGCTCCCACTTGTTGTAGAAAGTGGAGAATGTGCGCCCCGCGTTAGAGCGTACGAGGGCAAGCATTTTAACACGACGCATGTTTCAGAAACATAGCTACGGTTGCAGAAATCGTCAGAGGAGTGCCCGGCATGAGACTTCATTGTTGTCGTGCTGGAGTAGAGGCAGATGCCTGGGGTGCTGATTCGGAGGAGGCGCGACGACCCCGACGGCCGGCGACGCTCCATGGCCGAGGCACTCAAGCCATGGTGAGGCAGTGGTGCAGTCTCAGTGGATCTTTGCAACAAGATCCATGTTGCAAAGCCACAAGCACAACAAGCTAGCTGTTGCGAAGACACCCAGTTGGCTGGGACAGTAGATCGCACGGTGTTTCGGCCAGCATCCAACGTTTACCGAGGTGGATGATCTTATCGGTTTATCACCCGGCGGACGCGTAGTATTGCCCAAAAAGTTAACAAAATTGAAAAGAATTTGAAGAAAATGTTCTTGATGGATCGAACTCAAGACCTGTATGTTCACAGCTCATCGCGTTAACCACTAGGGACATCACACAATTCCGAATAGTAACTTCTTTAGCTCTTTTATTTTTTTTCTCTAGTTCGCATATTTCCTGTTCTTTTTATTCTTTTTCTATCTGTTTATTTTTTTAAATGCGTGATTTTTAATCGATAGACTTTTTCTTCAAAATTGGTGAACTTTTTTTTAAAAAAAATCCATGAACTTTTTCCAAATCGCTGATTTTTCTTTTCAAATTTTGTGATTTTTTTAAACATTTGAACGAACCTTTTCAAAATTTTGTGAACTTTTTAAAAATTGATGACATCTTTCAAGATCGATGGAACATTTTTACAAAACCGATGAACTTTATTCAATTGTGATATTATTTTTTTCAAAATCAATGAACCCTTTTTCAAAATTTAGAATTCTGAAAAGACGGAATTTTCATGAACTTTTTTCAAAATTATATGAATTTTTCAAGTTCATAAACTTTTTAAAAATTTGTGAATTTTGTTAGAATTTCATGATCTTTTTGAAATTCCAAGAACTCTTCAAATCCATGAACTTTCTTCAAGTTCATGTTTTTTTCTCAAATTACTGAACTTTTTAAAATTTCTGTAGACTTTTTTTAGTACATGGACCTTTTCTTTTTGAAACAAATTTGCGAAGTTTTGTTTATTGTTTGTGAGCTTTTTTTTAATCTGTGAACTTCCAAATTTGGAACAGGGTGGCTATAATTGTTCTTAAGTATTTCGGATCACTATTGCCAGTTAGCGCTGGTGGTTAGGCAAGCACGTGTAGGAATTCAGCGTTGCGAGTTTAAATCAAAATGACGCTGAAGGCGCCGATTAGGAGCTCTCCCCAAAACGGCTTTCCTTTTTTCACTTCCTCGCACAACGGAGACGGGCCGATGATAAGGCCGTCACCGAAGGAGGAAAAAAAATAATCTTCGCGCGGTGCCCGGGGTGTCGCCCTCGCCGGGAAAACGGCCGCCTTGGCGCGCCTCCGCTTCGACTACGAAATACGGCGTACGTATATGACCCGCCGCTTTGGCAGGTTGTATTTAATCAGTGTACGGACGGACGGAGGACGACAGAGATTTTCCTCGCACGTGCCGCGGATAAGGAGCCGGCGCAGCACGTCCTCTCGCTCCCTTACCCGACAAGCAGGGAATCCCGCGCGGTCGAATCGAAATTTGGACGCACCATTGCAAAATTGCAATCGTACTCAAATTTACAGTGCAAACATTCAGCTGCAATGTGAATCTCTCTACCAGCTGCAATGTGAAAACGCACATGCTGAGCATCTCTCCAATCACTTGCAATGTATATACTCTCGCTGTCAATCAAGCGCCGAAAGCGATTTACACGATCAGAAGTTCAGAATTACTGTACAGTGCAAAACATGAAACATGCAAGGAGTGGTCGCGAAGGAAAGAACCTCTTGAAAAAATCTTGCTTGGACGTCCACCGCTGCCGCCGCGAGCACAGGAGCTACCTACCATCTGCCTATTTAAACCTCGCCCATCAGCCCTTCTGGTCGCGTCAACAAACGAACTCGTACGTGCTACTAAAGTTTGCACCAAGCGTAGCACGTTCAACCATGTCCAAGGAGGAGGTGATCGCCGGCGGCGACACGGCGGACGTGGCCGTGGAGAAGGCGCCGTACTGGGACCCGCCGCCGGCACCTCTGCTGGACACGAGCGAGCTGACCCGCTGGTCGCTGTACCGCGCGGTCATCGCCGAGTTCGTGGCCACGCTCATCTTCCTCTACGTCAGCCTCGCCACCGTCATCGGCTACAAGAGCCAGTCGTCCGTCCAGGCCTGCACCGGCGTGGGGTACCTCGGCGTCGCCTGGGCCTTCGGCGCCACCATCTTCGTCCTCGTCTACTGCACCGGCGGCGTCTCAGGCACGCACATATGCACACGTCCATCTCTCTCTGCAACAACTTAACACACACATGGATACGATACGTGAACTGTCGAGTGTGTGCTGCTGCAGGTGGCCACATCAACCCGGCGGTGACGTTCGGGCTGTTCGTGGGGAGGAAGCTGTCGCTGGTGCGCACGGTGCTGTACATCGTGGCGCAGTGCCTCGGCGCCATCTGCGGCGCCGGCATGGTGAAGGGCATCGCGGGGGCCAGCTACGAGACCCTCGGCGGCGGCGCAAACACGGTGGCCGACGGCGTCTCGGTCGGGGCGGGGCTCGGCGCGGAGATCGCCGGCACGTTCGTGCTGGTGTACACCGTGCTCTCCGCCACCGACCCCAAGCGCACCGCGCGCGACTCCTTCATCCCCGTGCTGGTGCCGCTGCCCATCGGCTTCGCCGTGTTCATCGTGCACCTGGCCACCATACCCATCACCGGCACCGGCATCAACCCGGCCAGGAGCCTCGGCGCCGCCGTCATGTACAACCAGCACAAGGCATGGAAGGACCACGTAAGCAAATCATGGTTAAGATGGGACGGATGAACGTACGTAGGTATACTCATCTCGTTGGTCGATTTTTTGTTTGCATGCAGTGGATATTCTGGGTAGGGCCGCTCCTGGGCGCGACAGTGGCTGCGTTGTACCACCGGTTCGTGCTGCGCGGCGAGGCCGCCAAGGCGCTGGGCTCGTTCAGGAGCACCGGCGCCGCCACCGCACGAACCTAATCATCAAATATACTGCGTGTGATCGGTCGAAGCTCGTTCATGCATATCCTGGCTCTAATTTAATTTGGTTGGTTATATGTAACTATATGTTCGTGATGTATGTCTCGATCGTGAAATTGTATTGTGTTGAACCCTGTAGCTTTGCATGGGCATGCATGCATGTGGCGTCTGTATTTGTTTCTTCCATTTTTGCGCGTCTGTACTTGATTAACTTGCCCAGCTGTGTGAGGTTGTCCGTGAATAATTACCACCCTAACACATGTTTTTTTAGCATCAGTACAGACACAAGCGATCATATACACGCGCATACACTTACCCTTATGAATGCACACACGCACACCCTACCCCTATGAGCACATCACCTCGTCGTCGACGGGAACGTCTCCTCCCATTGAAAGCGCATCGCTGGAAATCCTGAAATAAATTCAGGAATAATGCAAGCACCAGAATTTGAACCCTGGTGGGTTGATGATATCACTGTCCACCTAACCATCTCAACCACAGGTTGATTCGTACCCTAACACATGTTTGTATGTGAAAAGAAGGGGGAGAATAATATGTTGATATTTTCGAAGATTTGTTCATGAGAAAACAATCTGACTAGCTAAGAATATGTGCTAGATTCCACCGGAAGAAGAAAGGAATGTGAAATCTGAATAACTAAGGGTGTGTTTGGTTTCATCCAATGGAATGAAATGGGCCCGACCAGTCCCTGGCCGCTCGCCTTTGGATGGGTTACGAACTGGAACGCACTCGTTCTCGGAAAAAGAATATTCCATCAATACTCAGAACACACTCGTTTCTCTAATTTGGTGAATCCATGCAGAACGGCCTCTTGCTCTGACCTCTCTCATAAGAGCATCTTCAGCCGTTGAGCCTTCTAGGAGACATTTTTTTTGCCGCTTGGGAGGCTGACGGCGAAATTTTTTGTCTGGGGTCAAGAAAGCATCCACTCATTGCCCTCCCACGCACCTCCGAACCGCCGAACTGGCTGGCGCTGCTCCTTCGTCAGAAGCTGCTGCTTCGTCTGCATGCCGGACATCTGCACATACGTCGGCGGCGGCACCACCATCGACGCCGCGAAGGGGTCCGCACCTGGCGCGGCGCTGCACATCGCCAGTGGCGGGGCAAGGCCAGCATGGGCGCTCCGGGCGGCCGCAAGGCCACGCTGCTCACGCTGCCGGAGAACGCCTGCGCGTTCGCTGCCGCTGCGTGGTTATACATGCCGTAGCATCGCGCGCTGGTTCGCGAGAGCGCTCGCCGACTCGACCAACACCGTCTCCGAGTGGGTTGTAATCAGCGGAGCCTCCGGCTCAGCATGCGCCGCCTCGCTGGCATCGTGCTCCTGCTCCACGGCAGCCGGCGGCTCCGCGGGCGCCGGAAGGGCCCTGGTGGCGTTCAAGTCGTACTCCTCGACCTCTGGCTCCAGAGCATCATCGACCTGGCCGCCTCCGTCGTGGCCAGGAAGGACGGCCGGCACCAGCAGCACCCGCAACACTGCACCGTCATTGTCGGCACCATCTTCAGGAGCCGCAGCGGCCGCGTGACCAAGCTGCTCGACGCGCTGCGCCTTGTGTGCGCCGCGGGCGTGAAAGATCGTGGATGTCGCCTAGAGGGGGGGGGGGGTGAATAGGCATTTTAAAATAATTACGGTTTAGGCTTGAACAAATGCGGAATAAACCTAGCGGTTAATTTGTCAAGTACAAAACCTAAAACAACTAGGTTCACCTATGTGCACCAACAACTTATGCTAAGCAAGATAAGCAACTATCTGATAGCAAGATATATGACAAGAAACAATATGGCTATCACAAAGTAAAGTGCATAAGTAAAGGGGCTCGGGTAAGAGATAACCGAGGCACACGGAGACGATGATGTATTCCGAAATTCACACCCTTGCGGATGCTAATCTCCGTTTGGAGCGGTGTGGAGGCACAATGCTCCCCAAGAAACCACTAGGGCCACCGTAATCTCCTCACGCCCTCGCACAATGCAAGATGTCGTGATTCCACTAAAGGACCCTTGAGGGCGGTCACCGAACCCGTACAAATGGCAACCCTTGGGGGCGGTTACTGAACCCGTACACTTTGGCAACCCTTGGGGGTGGTCACCGGAACCCGTCAAATTGCTCGGGACGATCTTCACAACCTAATTGGAGACCCCGACGCTTGCCTGGAGCTTTACACCACAATGATTGAGTTCCGAACACCACAAAGGTTGGGGTTAACTCCCCAACGACACCACGAAACTTCACCACAATGGAATATGGCTTCGAGGTGACCTCAACTGTCTAGGGCGCCCAAGCACCCAAGAGGAACAAGCTCAAGGGTACCAAGCACCCAAGAGTAATAAGCTTCTCAACTTGTAACTTCCACGTATCACCATGAAGAACTCAAATCGATGCACCAAATGCAATGGCAAGGGCGCACGGAGTGCCCAAGTCCTTCTCTCCCAAATTCTACCGAAGCAACAAATGCTAGGGAGGAAAATGAGAGGAAGAATGAAGAAGAGAACATGAAGAACTCCAAGATCTAGATCCAAGGGGTTCCTCTCACATAGAGGAGAAAGTGATTGGTGGAAACGTGGATCTAGATCTCCTCTCTCTTTTTGCTCAAGAACTAGCAAGAATCATTGGAGGGATTGAGAGTTAGCAAGCTCGAAGAAGGTCAACGATGGGGGAAGAACATGAGCTAAAGAGATAAGGTTCATTGGGAAAGAAGACCCCCTTTTATAGGTGGGGAAAAATCCAACCGTTATGCTCACAGCCCGCACAGAGCGGTACTACCGCTCCAAGGAGCGGTACTACCGCTAGGGCGGAAGTACCCCTTTGAAAAACAACAACGAGGAGGCAAAAGGCCAGTAGAACCACCGGAGCGGTACTACCGCTCGTCCTCACGGTACTACCGCTCGACCTCACGGTACTACCGCAAATGGTAGCGGCACTACTGCTTGCGAGCGGTACAAAAAAATACTTCCGTGCCTACTTCCGCTGAGCAAAACATGAGATTTTGGTCCGGAGTGGTACTACCGCTTAGGAGCCGCGGTAGTACTGCTCTGGAGCGGTAGTACCGCTCTAGAGCGGTAGTAAAAAATTACATCCGCTCTAGCCATGGTAGTACCGCTGCAGCCTTTACCAAAACAACCACAACTTTTGCAAACGGACTCCGAATTCAACGAAACCAAGTTTGTTGGAAAGCTAACAACATGGGCTAACACAATCTTGATAGAAATATCAATAAGAAGCAAATGAGAAAAGGCCCATAATAAAATGGTGAGAACCCTTCCTCGGAAAAGACCGGTAAAACCTCAACACCTCCAACATCATAGAAGATGCATGCGAACTCCATTTTCGATGAACTCAAGCTTGTCATCAAGATGACCATAAGCTTTAAGACTCACAAAGAGAACCAAACAAGAACCAAGAAAGATGATGCAAGGATGCAATGGTTTGATCTCTCTACGAATGATACGATCAAGCTACTCATCGAGAGCCCCCCTTGATAGTACGACAATCGATCCTATGACTCGGTCTCCCAACTACCATCATAACCGGTAAAATAGAAAACCTATCAAGGGCAAACCTTTGCCTTGCACATGGTCCACTTGATCTAGATGACGACGATCTTGACTCCCTCAAGTTGGACCATCTTTTTTGATTGCGTTGGCTCGATGAAGACTAGTTAATTGCTCCCCCATACTCCACTATGGGTGAGCCACTCTTCCACACGTCTTCACAAGTCCATTGTCACCACAATGGACGGCAAGCTTCAAGCATTTGATCTTTTCGTGATGTTTCACTTGAATTTGCACACCGCAACCTAACCCCACAAAGAACTCTCACGAAGACTATGGGTTAGTACACAAAGCGTAATGGACAATGCTTACCATACCATGGGATCACTTGATCCCTCTGTACATCTTGTACGCTTTATGTGTTGATCAACTTGATTCACTCTTGACTTAGTCTTGATCAACCTTGATTCTTTCTAACTCTCTTCATTTGGATGATGTCTTGAAGGTAAACATGAATTATCAAACAATCTTCTTTTTTAAGACATGCTCGCAATAAGCTCAACTCTCAAATGACCAATGTTTGGATAATTTCTTGAATAACACCTTGGTCGACACAAACTCTCCTTGAAACCAACACATGTACTCCAAGAAAAGCCTATGGACAAAATCTTCAAATATAACTCAAGGCAACCATTAGTTCATAGAGATTTTCATTAATTACCAAAACCAAACATGGGGGCACCGCATGTTCTTTCAATCTCCCTCATTTTGGTAATTAATGACAATCACTTTTAAGAGAGTTTATACAAGAAATTATGCATCACCAAGCAATGCAACAACCAATAATGCGTGCGTATGAGATGCAAATGCTTAGGAACAAAACCAAAGCAAGGAGAAAACTCTGAAGACTTCTCCACAAAACTCTCTGAAACTTCTCCCCCATTGGTATCGATTGCCAAAATGGGCGAAAAGCTTAGAAGGCCAATATGAATTGTGTTCCTCCATAAATTGTGTATTTCTCAATAGGAGAGTGGAATGCAGTACACATATCCAACGGTAATACTTGGAGGAAGGCCAACTATATTGAGGCACTAAGATTGCTAAAGGAATGTTATGCCAGAAGGACATAATAAAGAGAGACACAAGCAATCAAGCAATCAAAAGGTATCAATTGAAGCAAGCAATCAACGGATATCAATTAAACCAACTAGACCAAATATCCTACAAGCTACATGAATAAAAGATATTATGATATGAGCAAATGAGTGTTCTAAAGAAACTAGAGAGGCTCCCATGATTTGTGCACACATAAGAATATTTGAATTTGGATACAAAGTGCACAAAATAGGATCATAGCTTCCCCAAAATCAATCTATACATACTAATAAAGCAAGGTGCATTTCTCCAATTTTTTCATCCGTTCACCATCAAAATTTATTTTTCTATCCGAGGTGGTACTAAACTGTTGTGCACCCATCTGGTTTTAT